CTATTCTTAATCTTCCTGAATCCTCTATTGTTTCCCTGAAAACCAGCTATTTGTTGTAGGATACGAGAAAACTGGAATGGTCAGAACTTTCTCCAAACCTTAGGATTTCACCCCAAAAAACGCTTTAAATCTTGCGCATTCCTGGTATTTCCTGTGGATCAACTGAAAACCATCCTATTTTGCTAAAATCTACTGAAATGCCCGCAACATCGTATTATTTGTCTGACACCCTGCATTTTCTTTGGGAATTCTGCCTCTCGGAGCCTCCAAACCCGAAAAATAGGGGTAGCCCCCCCACAGCCCCCCAGACTCCCAGACGTGCCAGACCCACCCCCCCCCCAAAACCCTTCACAGACCTTTCCAGGACCTTCCAGACCCCACACCGACCCAGACCCCACACCCCCTCCAGACCCCCCCAGACCCCCCCATAACCCCCCCCAAACCCCTCCCAAACCCCCAGACCCCCCCCCTATGCGTGCTTTCCCCCCCCCAACCCCCCTGTCCAAGCGTTACTTTCGCGTTACTTTGCGTTGGCCTCTATTGCCGTGCTCAGAGACTTTTGGGCGTTACTTTCGCGTTACTTTGCGTTACTTTTTGGGGGGCAGGCTCCAGACCATTTTGGTCCGTCTAGGGATTAGCAGCCCTGCTCTACCTGTGCCAACATGGCTGAGGACCCTTGTAAAAAATGGTGATGTTTTGTGATTTGAGGGTCTGTAGGCTCTGGGCCAGTTATGCAGTAATGGGCGTCCCCAGCTAGTGCGCACCTGTGAAGGAGGATTTCTTGTGGCACTCGTGTTGTCAGGGATTATGCATGGCAAGTAAGGATCCATCCATGGCAGATTTGTACATCCAGAAAGAATTGGATGATGTGTCAAAACGCCTCCGAGAGCGAGCTGGGCTGCAGCAGGCGACAGGTAGCAACTTGCCCCACTAAACCTATATTATTAGAATACTTTCAGCCAACCCACGAGACACGATCATATAAGGTACTCCCAATGAGAACAAGCAGCAAGAAGCGGCGCTGACCGAGACGCCAAGTACGAAGACCCCCCACCCAAAGCGCACACGGGTGGAGGTGTCCATTCCTGATCCAACGAAAGACAAAGGTACCAAGGAAGATGCCTTGGCCGGCCTCCCACAGGAGAGCCTTCCTGATCTGGCGCAAGGCAGCAGTCAGCCTCCCTCAACCCCCGTGCCTTTGAAGCCAGCGGCAGCGCAGTCGCCATCCCTTGAGAAAGCTGTAGCTCCCTCCCCTCGCAATCTCCTGGATTCCTTGGATACGGCTGACAGTGCCACACCAAGCAAGCAGGTGAGCTGGC